GAAGTCCTGATAAGAATTACAGATCACCTGATGACTGACACACGAGGCAAAAAAATTAAAACATTTTAAACTGCTTTTAATGTAACATCATCATCATGGCTAGGCTTCGCGAACGAAGATTTGGGAAGGCTCTATCCACATTTGCTACAGGCACGCTGGTGGCTTATGAGGCCAATACATAATGTAACAATTAATTAACAATTAATGTAACAACTGAACATACTAATATTCATGGAGTAAAGCAGAAAAAGACAGACTCTTTTCACTTATATCTATATAAGAGTTGGCATTTACATTTTGCTATGAATTCTGCACAGACAGTAGTCCCTACTGTTGACTAGCAATTTCTGTTGACTACAAATCACTTTTTTCTCTGTATCCCTGTGACAGTCAGTCAGCCAGAGCAGTAACATACTGTCAGCAACATCTGTGTATGCTTTCACTATATCTTTTGTGTCAAAGTTTTCTGTATGTGTCAGAAATGGAGCTTTAAGAACCATATGCCTCTCTGAAGTATTGTAATTAAATTCATGAATGTCAGAAACACCAATGCACCGAGGTAATGCTTCCATGCACCACTAGCCAGGCACGGTTGTTACAAGAGCCTGTTACTACACCACAGAAGCTGAATTTGAGAGGAGTCAGCTAACTGCTCACTATGACCAAAAACAGCGTGCCCGTCATTGCTACAGGCCCAGTGACAGGTTCAGGAGAGAGGGTGGCTTTACATCAGCACAGTAACCAGGGACTGTGAAGCAGCAGCAGGATCTAGGAAACTATGTGAAATAGCAATGCACGCAAAGCAAGAGTTACCCGCAGATCCCTGGGGAGTCACAGATCCCTGAGCAGTCCATCTCTAAAGATGTTCCCAAGCCTGCAGCGCAGGCCCGGGGCAGCAGTTGGAGCCCCCGCACAGTCCGCAATCTGCCTCTGCAGTACAACGGCGGGCAGCTGTTCCCTGAGAACACCCAGTTCCTAGCGCTGCCCCGGGGCCAGCAGCTCCGGCCGGGCACAGCTGCCCCAGGCCCCGCCTGCTCAGGGCCGGGGGCTCGGGGAGCTCCGGGACCGCCGGGCCGCACCCGCCCTCTCCTCCCCCTTCTCCCGCCGCCGCCCGCCCGCGGCTGGGTTACCTTGCAGGGCCCGGAGGAGCCGCGCCGCCGGCAGTAGCACATAGCAGAGCACGGTGCCGATCATACCGCCCGGCACGGCAAGGCCTCCACCGCCCTCGGCCCGGCCCCGGCGCCGCGCCGCCCCCGCCTCAGCTACGACCTCTCGGCGCGGGCTCCGCGGAATCGGCTCGCCCGAGCACTCACCGCGTCGAGCCGCGGGGCTGGCGGCCGCCTCGGGCCTGGCGCTCCTCCAGCGCCCCTCTAGGACCGCCCGCTCCCGGGAGACCGCAGCCCGGGGTGGGACGGCCCCGCGGAGCGACTCCGGCCGGGCTGGGGCCCCGCCCGCCCCGCTGTGAGACGGGAGCGCGGCCGGGGCCAGGCCCTGGCCGCTGTGCCGTACCCGAGGGGTCACGACCTGTGACCCTGGGCTGAATGACGGCAGTCTTCTGGCCTCGCCACCCTGAAATTTGTGGTTTCAAACAAAATTTTTCACCCCCGGTTCTCCAGAATTTCAAACGGGACAATTTCCCTCTGCAAAGCCACCATTTGCTCCAGATGAGTTAATAATTACACCGACTTTTCAAACACTGATGCAGTGGGTGAGATGGCAGAGTGGGAGCGTGCCCTCCCTCAAGTGTTGCTGACAGGTCACCACAGGTCTGCAAAATCACTCCTCACCTGGAGGTGAGCATTCTGGCCTCTGCAAGTTGAGATCCATCACATGTTGCAACCAGACAGTTGCATATGAAAAGCAAAGTCCTCGTTGAAGTCCAGGACTTTCATTTGCTTCATGCCACAATTAAATGTTTTCAACATCTAAAGGCAAACAGATCAAGCTGAGCACACTACAGCTTTTTACATGAAATACACCTTTCTAATGTGCAATCTCAGTATTCTTCCAAACTTTTCAAGATGGGCACCTGCAATGAAGTCCAGATTCATGTCATCCCTGCCTTTCGCATTGATGATAGCTGCCAAACTGTTCCCTTGATGGTGACCAGCTGCTGTGTCACAGCACAGTCAGGCCAGGACGTCAATGTTAGACAAAACACTTGGTGATTAGCACAATGAGTGTCCACAGCCAGGACCTGAGATGATGTTATAACGTATATAAATAATAATCCTACCAGTCTCCTTTTCAAATCCTCAGTTATAAAATACCACAGACCATAAATGCAGTGACTTGTCTCAAATCCCACAAATGTCTCTGGCAAAGCACAGAACTGGACTGTGGTCTCCCATCTGTTGCAGTAACCAAACCATCATTGGTTTTCATTTCTAGTCAGAAAACAGAGGGTGTTCTCCAGAGGAAGTATCTGCAACATTAGGGGCTGATGACTGGGTCATTGAAAACTAGGCTGTTCTTTAAGAGCAAAGATCTAAGAAACCCACATCAGAATAATCAGACTGAAATCAGAGAAGAATGTTAGCTGGTGCTATAAACAAGCAAGCAACTGTGGCCAAACAGCCATAGTTGTTTGTCCTACACTAGAAAAAATATTTACAAACTTTGGCAATAAAATCAAAGCTGACAATGGTCATCTGCTTCAGGGTCAAACCTTCCACTGGGTTTTGTGGCATTTTGTTCTATATCAAAATATAACTCTACCACAGTTTCTAATGATTGGACTACTTGAGAGGTCTATGTAGAACCTAAGAGAATAAAGCCACTAAAATTACCTTTTTGGGGGGAAACAGACTTTTTCTTCTTCTCTGTTTTACATATTACACTGTGTAGGCTACATAAATTTCAACCTCTGTACCAGAGGTTATGTTCACTGAGCATTGCCCATAATGGAAATATTTCTAAGTGTATGAATTAGTTCTGCCCAACCTTTATCAGAAAGCCTCTTCTGTTACAGTTTTGGTTTTAGCCCCTTAGGAAAAGTTACAAAGTCCTCAGTATAAAAGATGTAAAATAATAAGCATTGAACCAATTTTGGCACCAGCAATAGTTGGTGGGACGAATGAGCACTTGATTCAAGGCCCCAATAAGTGCTGACATGTTTACAAACCACACTTTATTAGTTAACTTACTGGGAATTCGGCAGTAGGGAAGTCTGAATCTGTTCAAGACTAAAAAAGTGAATACATTTCTATCCTCATCTCCTTTAAGACTGTAACTGCCACAGTCTGATTTTCCCATGAAATTGTACACACTGGAATATGAACTTAAAGGAGACAAGAACTCTTATCAGCACCGTGGCACAACTCTTTGATACATCTGTGGGGTTTCCACAGCCAAAACCACAGCTGTTCTCAGTTATTGGGAGCTGACTGGATCCCAGAGCGATGGGGTTTCCAACACTGAATGTCACCCTTAAGAGTCAGAAGGTGCAAGTGGAACAGAACAGTGGTGGTGGCAGGACAGGGCAATCACAGGCTCTGCAGGGCTTTCTCATAACGCCGGGACAGCCCATGCAAGCCAGGAATGGGATTCTCCTATTTAGAAGCAGTAGAAATCAAGAATATAGATCTTACAAGTGGTATCATTCCTCCTGGAGAGGTTTTAATTGAAGCCAAACAGCTGTGCTTTTTGTGTGTAGGTGTGAGAAACTACAGGGTCTAGGAAGTCACTGTGAACTTCTCATTTACAGAAGAGAAAAAGCAAATGAACCTGCAACTCACTGATGGTGACACAGAGAATGAGTCTAAGAAGGATGCAGGCGCAGTGTTTACTTACTGGCAAACTCACTTCAGAAATTGTCAGAAATGGCCAAAGAAAAATCACCAGCACCCAAGACAGACTGTTGTTGCAGCAGGTTGATCACCACGTGGGAAGGCTTCTCTTCTCTAGGCCAGGCAGCAATGAGAAGGGTAGTGATCAGGGATCCAGGGTGCCAGTGCCCAGAGATGGGAGCTGCCATCTGGGAACAGTTTGGAAAAAAGCAAAATTAATCATAAGAGGGCTTGCCAGTACCAGCTTCCAAGACACTCCACCCAGCTGCCCCTAATGCCCACAACAGATGTCAGAGCTCAGCATCTTGTGAGACCAGATCCTGTTTGAGCTCTCTATCGTCCAGAAGGACAGGCAAGGTGTGAGGGGCAGGAGAGTTTTCTGAACTTGCTGCTCTCAAGCTGTGCTTGTACACAGTTGAGTCAGGCCCCAGGACTGCTCACAGCACTTTGGCCTGAATTCCTAGGTCAGCATAACAATCCTCTTAAAATTAAAAAAACTCCTTTGGCCTGTCAGTCATTACAAGTTAATTTCTTGTTTTCCTTTGTTGTTATATATATAATTACTTGTAAAATAATGCAATTACTGTAAGGTAGGGACATATGTGGGACAAGTTCTCTCTTTGGTTCATTTTTCTTTATTTAAATAGAGTATGAAGTGCAGAGATCACTTCTGAATCTACTTCAGAAGACTCAGTCCACTGGCTGGGACTGGCTAATGTACTGGGCATATGACTTGTCTCATGAGTTCTTTCATGGGATTTAGACCTATTTTTACCCTTTCTTTTGTCTTTTTCACACTAAAGTAATGCAAGTAAACCCATCATTTGAAAAATAAAGTCTGGCAGAAGGAAAAGGTCTTAATAAAGGAGCTGCAGCTGCAGGGCTGGTTGAAATGTGGTGATGTGGATGCCAGCTGGCCGGTCTTCCCCTCACATAGGTCTGAATGAACAGCCAAACTGCAAGCTCCACATCATACATCAGTACTAGGTGACACCCAGGAAGGGTACAAAATTTCAGGTCAACAGCCTGGAGCTCTAAATGGAAATAGACAGTAAGGAAAGAAGGCAGTAAAAGCACTGACAAGGAATGAAAAGGAAGATTTAGAGAAGAAAAAAATATGTATTACGCTATTAGCCAGAAATTATTTTGGCAAAATCACACTTCATTATTTTTTATGCATTTATTCCTCTTAAAAAGGATTTTTTTCAAATTCTCTTTCTCTCTAACTGTGAAATAAATTATGAATTGTGGGCAAGAGAAGCTGTATCACTCCCAGTGATTCTAGTTACTTTCAGTCCCAATGGACAGTACCATTCAAATGCTTTCTCTTCTGCCATTCAGGAAGAGTACTGCAAAGCATTCCCAGTCTGATCAGAAAGTCAGCCAACAGTGCCTGGGAAGTGTGAGTCAGTTCAAGAGCGGCAGGAGAAGCTGGCATGGGTTTGGCTTGTACACTTGTGGAGAAATGGGATGAAGATGAAAAATTTGCTTTGGCTGGTGGGCTCAGAAATTGAGAAAGGGGAGAAAGGCAGCTTGTGAGGGAACAAAGACCTAATGTGGGAGAACTGTGAGTTCCTTGCACATGGGCTGAAGAATTTGAGAAGACCTTTTTCAAACACTTCCAAGCACTAGAGTGAGCCTATCCCCACACTGGGGCCAGCACCACATGCATACAATGTGCAGGGAGTGGTGGGCACCAAGCAGAGATGCAGCAGGAGTACATCTGCAACATGCTGAAGAGGGGCTTCAGTGAGAGGAGTGGAAGATCTATCACACCCCAGGAGTCACATCTCTGCTGGGCTTGCATTGACAAACTGAATCTTTTTCATGGCAGACTAGAATGAAGAGATGTCAAAATCAGTGAGTCTCAGGAATCTGTGTCTCTGACTGATGCCTCAGCAGAGAAGGCCACAGAAGCCCCTGACACTGACCATGAGGTTGAAGCTGAACGTTTTCTGACCATCTGCTCTCACTATCCTTCCCCTGACAGCCAGAGCTGTACCTACTAACTGGTATGTATTCAAAATGGAGACCAAGGACACAATCCTGCCAGAATTCTGACAACCACATGTAGTCTGGCAATTGATAAAGACAGAGGCAGGAATGAATTTCCCCTTAAGAGTTCTCCCTTTGATGTCCAGTATCTTCCCTCAACTGCTCTCTACACACTACAGCTATTTCTTTGTTCCTTTTTCTTTCCTCTAGTCATTAATAGCCAATACTGCCAGCCCAGACCACTGTCTGGGCATCAGGAGCAGCTATCTGAAACCAGGGATGGGACTGCAGCCCTCTTTGTGCACTCCTGATGAAACACTGCATAGCACTTAGGGTCTGCACACCATGGTTTTGCCACAACCGTCCTCAACTTTTCTGGTGGCTCTCCTTTTATTTTCTGCTTCATGAAGTCAGTCCTCTGGCTAAGCAAGTCATTTTTGTAACAGTAAGATTTATCCATAATTTAGGATAAGAACTTTCTAACCTGTTATAAGTGGAAGGGAAATCCAAAAACATAAGAATGCAAGAACAAGGACTGTTTTGTTAGAGGCTTCAAACTGAACTGAAAATGGCTTTGATGAGAGGGGAATTTTTCTTGAGGTCAGACCACTGAATGCGTATAACAACATGGAGAAATATGAGCTCTAAGTATGGGGTTTGATGAAGGAAATCCAAATGACAGGTTTTTGTGGAAATACAGCCTCCAGCTGCACTGATATGTCTCGCTGCAGCTGTGTCAACAACACCCAGTGGCCAAGATGAGAATGCTGGGATCCTTCCTGCTGGTTGTAAGCCAAAATGTTCTGAGCTGCCCTACTTCTGCTGTCAATATCAGCTGTGTGCTTCAATTAAGATTAAAAAAAAAAAAAGATGAAAATGTTTTTCCCCGATGTCAAGAATTCTCAGTTACACCAAAAAAAGTTCAGTCACATTGCAGACTGGTGAAAAGCTGCAGCAAGTCACTGGATGCCAAATGGAGAAGAAAGGAGGACACATTAATGCCTGGAGGTCTGGGATAAAGGGATGGGGAGAACCAGGGGATGATAACCCCTAAAGTGTAAAATTGTACTGGTTTTGCATAGTGTTTCTTAATTTTATTAAGTTTCTTAATTTATTTAAAAGAGAAGGGACAACATTTAATGCACCACTCATCAGTATACTTTTTCTCTGTAGAACCTGGGAAGGCCTTTGCAGATGCATGCAGGCTGATGAAGGTGGTGCCTGTCTTACACTTGATTCAAAGTTTGGCCAAGCCTTTTATATATCTGAACCACCATGGTCTAGGACTCAAAGGTGTCAAAGTCACTGTTAGTGTTATGGTGGTGAGTAGCCAGTAACAGTGGAGCCACTGTTCTCAAGAACAGTAGGAATTTTAGGCCTCTCTCAGGCCTGGAAGTCATCACTGAGTACACAGTGTGGGAGAAAAAGTCCTGTATCTTCCCCATTGGAACTCTGAGTATCCCTAATGTTTCTAATCCTCTGCACAGGAAATGTTCCGTGTGGCAACTGATGGCCTTTCATGGAGTAACTCCAAGAGCAACTGATGCTCTTCCATGGGTCACAAGTCCTCAGTTCTCCTAACCCATACAGGGCCACAGATAGGGGTAGAGGGACTGGTATCCCACTCTGGGTTCTGCATAGGTATGTGCTGCACCCAACAACGAACAGGCCCAAGATGCCCGAATTGAAGCTGGGACCTGAACCTGGGTCTCCAGGCTGGCACAAAGCAACAGAAAGTCCTACTCTCCAAGAAAACAGCTCTTTTATGTGCAATTGCCACAGCCATGGCTCTGTCACATCCCCTGATCACAGTCTTGCTCAAGACCTGAAATGCTTCCTAAGGTTTGGAGGAAATGCCCAGCAACTGTTGAACTAAGAAAACTATCCTCTTTGTTAACTTTGCAGTAATGTTTTTGCATGTCTCTGTTTATCTTTTTGTCCTCCCAGTCCAACACAACCATCATCCATTTAGAGTTAGAAGAAAAGTGCATTTTGGTAGGAGCCATATGCGCAGCAGAGATGCTATGAGAGAATTCCTCCCTTCAAGAACTGGTACCCCATCTGACACAGTTTGTGAGTCAAAATTATTGCTCATCAAGTTCAATCATCTGAAAGAAAACAAATTCATTCCATTAAGATTTTAACCAAATAGTGGCTGTTCCCATGCAAAAACATTCACATCCTGAAAATCATGATATTTTGTGCTGTGCTACTTTTAAAAAGTACAAACTTCTGAAAAGCAGAAGTGTGTATGTAATGGCAGTCTGGTGAGTCTGGAAGTGCTATCCTCATTAGCAGATGTAACAATAACTACCATAACTAAGTCTTTCCACTTTATGCTTAGCCAACGGAAAAAAAATTTTGGTCAGGAACTTTCATTCTCCAATATGACATGGGGAAACTTTTCTAAATAAATTAAGGGAATAATGCAAGACTTTCAGATATTAACTGGTAGGAATTTTCCTTTGATCTGAAACTGAGGTATCATGGCTGGGCTTCACGAACGAAGATTTGGGAAGGGCTCTACCCACGTTTGTTACAAACACGTTGGTGGCTAAAAAGGCCAATACAAGATAGACACGTCCAGTTGCAAAATGCACAGCAGAAAGACTCCTTAGGTGGTATATTCTGCAAGACACGATTCTTTCTGCGTTGTCTTGTCTCCTCTAGAGTGATCCTGCGTGCTTTCTCAAAAGCATCAGCAGGGTTAAAGATAGTGTGCCTCCAGACCTCCCGATTGGAGGACAGAGTAGACCAGTTATGTTGATCAATATGGCCAAGGCTGAGATGTTGTTTCAGGGAGTCCTTGTATCTTCTCTTCAGGGCTCCTCTCTTGTGGCAGCCGGTGGCAAGTTCACCATAAAGCAAGATCTTAGGGAGGCGGTGATCTTTCATCCTTGAGACGTGCCCTGCCCAACGCAGCTGTGTTCTCAACAACATGGCCTCAATGCTTGTGATTGGTGCTTGTTCTAGAACAGATGTATTAGTCACATAATCTGACCAACATCTCTCCAACATCCCCCCTCACCATTAGGCTGAAGGTGGGCAAGATCTTGGAAGGGTACATAGCCAGGACAGCTGATCCAACCTGACCAAAGGGATATTCCATACCATATGGCATCTCCTCAGCACTAAAAGCTAAGAGAAAGGCACAGGAGGGAGGAGTGGGGACAGTAAGTGGCAGCACATTTATTATTACATTTGTCTTCCAGAGCAACCACTATGTATATTGAAGCCTGACTTCACAGGAAGTGACTGGACATCACCTGCTGATGGGAAATAAATCTTTTCCTTTGCTTCAGTGTATGGTCTTTTCTTTTACTTTATTAAACTGCCTTTATCTTGACCTACAAGATAGGTTTTTTCTATGTTATTTTCTCCCTCCTGTCCTGCTTAGGAGGGGAGTGACAAAGTGTCTTGGTGAGCACCTGGTGTCCAACTAAAGTCAACCCACCACAACTTCTTACAGCCAAATATGGACTGTGATGAACTGGAGGTTCTACCTAAAAGCACAACTTTCTGCAGACCCCAACACAGCACCAAGGGATAGATCAGCGCATTGTTAACATACTTTTTTTACTCCAGGAAACAACTTTGGAGAGGAGACTGCACCATACTTTGCTTAGGCATTAATGGTGAGTTACCTGAAATCCAAGGTCATTTGCAGCCCTGGCTGTGTAACAGACCCTTCTCATCTTGAAGCTGCTACTCACTTGGCATGATTTCACTTGGCAATGCCCACATGATTTCCTGGCATAATTCCGCTAAGTGCCTCTCGCTTGGAGACATGGAGACATGCCTCCAGGGTCTGCCCCCTCACAGCTACTGTGGAAAAATTGACTCTGTCCTGGCCAAAAACCAGGACACAGGAGTACAGGCACTGGGGGACTTGATGGAACATGTATTTCCTTCTCTAGCAAAAATGCCCCATGACCTGGTTCATACTACAAAAGCCAGGGCACCCAGATTCAGAGCTTCCTGGATGGTCCACAGACTCACCCTCATCACCACAGGTGACTCTAGCAACAATGACTAATGTATGAGAACACACATGCAGGATGAGAAAACACAGTAACAGAGCGGTCTGTCAGAGAGAAAGGAGATGAAAAACAAGTCCCTCAGGGTGTATAAAGCAGAAAATTGCACTCTACTAAACTCTCATAGAATCAGAACTGTTGTTCATTGTAAGCTTCTGATTACAAAGTTCAGGAGCTATTTCAGTTTTTCTTAGCCCAAACCCTAATGGTTTTAGTCATTGCACAGTAAACAGCGAGAGAAACAGATTAGGAAGGAATAAAATTAAGATGCCTAATCTGTCTGTTCAGACAAAGTGAGATCCAGAGTGTGCTAGTAGCCCTTGAAAGGGAAAGCAAACAAAGCAGTATTTCAGTAATCTCAGGTGCTATTACTACACTGTCAAAGACTTGCATGAATATCTGAGGGCTCTTCTTTCCCCAGTGTGTTCAACACACCTGCTACCATAAAGGCCACAAGCATGTGCTGTGAGCATCCAGTGTTCCTTGAGCATTGCAGTAACACAATGCCTTTAGTTTAATTAATGCTTTCCTTCTCCTGTTTCAGTATTTCTATTGATGTGTATCTCTTTCTAATAAAAGTCCATGTCTTTGAAATATGGATCAATTAAAACTAAAGTGGGGACAAGGCACTGTGCCCCTGCTTGAACAAGCTTGCAGGCAACACAGAGATCAGTACTGAAACTTATGACCTTCCTAGTCTAGAAAAATGCCTCTCCAAAATTCAAGGTTTTACAGCTCTTCTCTCCTTCCAGCCCACTTGAAGCAGGAGCAGCAGAGATTACTGCAGAATCAGTTTCTTTTCTGTTTTGTTTCTTGGAGGAATATTTTTAAGTTAGCTAAATTCACCATCTGTCCCCATCCAACCTCCCATACATGGAAAATTTGGATGAGAAATTCTCTCTGAGAATGAGAAGCAAGTGTTGGCAGCAAGTCCTCTCCCTCCCAGTGTCACAGTAGACACAAATGAATTCACACATACCCTGCTCTAAGTAGAACTTACACTGTGAGGTGTGCAATGCATGTGAATTGGCATTGGCACTGGCACATATACAGGTGGGCACAGTTACTATATGAAACTGAATTCTTCTCCTCTGCTAATCAAACATAAGCAGAGTGAGTCTTGATATTTTAGATGTGGCAAGGAGAATCCAGCCATTTTTCACAGTGGGAAAAACAGGCAGTGTCTATTAATATAAGAAATCCTCCCTCTCTCTGTTTTCCTCCTTCACAATGTAAATCATTTGCTAAGAATTTATTCAAGCACAGGATAAACTGTCATTTCCACAACAGGGCAATGCCACAGCACTACCTAAAGCAGAGGAGTATTATCAAGTCCTGGAAAAAGAATGGCCAAAACTGCCTTCTAGGAATCAAGGAATCAATAATCCTGGAAAGGGCAAAACTAAACAACTAGCCAAGATGGCTTCAGAGGTTAGGGTTGAGAGCTAACATGTCTTCTCAGTCCAAGATCAGACTCTGGGAAATCAGCTCAGTAAAGTCAGCTTGCGTATGAGCTGCATCCTCAGCTAGATCTAATATCACCATCCTGAGAGTCTGCAAATGGCTTGAGAGGAATCTTTAAATCTGTTAATGTAAGCCTGTCTCTGGACACCCCTGTCCTTGTGAATCACTGCAACTCCATCAGTCATTTGCACTGCTGTTTTAGATTATGTAAATAAACATGTCTGTCTGCCTGGCTCTTAACCTGACTTGAGGTAAGGTCACTAGCTCACACCAAGGCATTCCTCTCTCTCCATAGTCATACAGATTGTCTTAGGAGCTGATAGCACAAAGGACTTAAAGGAGGACATGTCTTCTGCTGGCCAACAGTAACGAAAGTTTTCTTTATAATAGTGGGAATGGGGACTGCACATGAAGTCCAAGGTGGGGGAGAGATGATGTTCACACGCTAAGAGATGCACTTGGCAATGCCAACCCTGTAATGCCAGATAGCCAGACCTCGTAGGCCAGAGGTTGACAAGCAGCCTGAGCTCTGATCCTCTGCACTGCCAATAGGAACCAACAGTATGGGAGATCTCCCGAGGCACACACCTCCATCCAGAGGGATCCTCCTAGAAAGCACACATTCAAATGCAGCCCATTGCCTCAGCCTCTCCCCATCACATGACTGAACATGATCCACATCACATCCTCCTGCATGACAGATGTAAGGGACCTGGTATGTGGAATTTCACACAAAGAGATAGAGAAACTGAGAAGGTAACCCCACTTGGAAACTGCATTGCAGACTTTTGTGGAACAGAGACAAGAGGTGGTGAGACAACAGACACACCCCTTGAAAGGGACCACAGTTTTTCTACAGCCCTGCTGAAGAATGGGAAGAAAAGGTGCTTACAGATTCACCACATTTCACTCCCATCCATTTTGTAATAGCAGAACAAGAACAAGGAGTGAATTCCCACTGGAGGATGAATTCTCTTCATCCCCAGAGCTGTCTTCCTCCAGAGTAGCCTAAGATGCTAGATACTGTGAAGTGCTTTGATACTCTGTCAGTCTGTGTGAGGAATAGAAGAAGATGGATGCTTCAAGGCATTGAAAGCAAAGCAGTTCTATTAAAAAAAAAAAAAAAGTAAGCACCAACAAAAAAACCCTAAAACAAATCAAATATTAAAAGGCTGGTGAGGAAGGAAAAAGAGATCAAAGAGGACAAATCTTAGTATGCTACTCTGTACAACACTGGAGCATAACACATGCTGTTGTAACCTCATGTGCTGCTTCTAAGAAATGCTCCTGAGTGAGGGCAGGGATTGCATTGCAGACCAACACAGGGGAAAGACCCGGGCACATATCAGTCCAGTCCTGGCACTTCCATCTATGCACTGATTCCTCATGGGAGCAGTTACAGAAGGTGTCAGGGGCCTCAGGGCCCCCCACCCACCTTTGGGAGCAGCATGATTAAAGGAAAGAGCATTTTCACAAAAATTGCATTTGGGACATAAATAATATGTTCATGCTTGAAACAAGGTAAAAGTAAAGTTCACAGGCAGTTTTGGACACTCATGTAATGGGTTGTATCTAAGTTACATCTGCATGCGTTCTTTGTCCTGTGGTTAGTATATTAAAGAAAGAAACTAAAAATAAGCAGAATAACTAATATTCACCTATAGTCTTTCCTGAGAGTATTGAGTGCTTTCAACAGAGATCATCTGAAGAACAGGCGTTCCTCTAGGGTAAAGATTTTTTCCTGCATAAATTAAGATCAAAGAGAATTATTTTCCAAGTCTGCAAGGAGTCAGGCCTCATTCTGCAAAGGAAAACTAAAACAGGCTGTATGGGGGTAAAGGACTGCATTACAGTAGATGTGGTTCCTCTAGTTTTATTACGAATAACCTAAACAATTAAAAAATTGGAAACAGTAATAAATTTTAGCTAAAATATGATAAATTAAAAGGAATTATTAAAATGCATTTCTTTAAGAGGAAGCACTCAAGAAATCTCACTACGAATTTCTGCTTTTTAAGGTTAAAGAGTTGTTCTCTTCATCTCACCGTTGAAAAAGTCTAAGTTACCCGGCATTTCACAAGATAAATGGTCAATGGCATAAATTTACAATGACATTTCAGTATCCCAATCAAATGGTTGTAGGCAAACATCTAATCTGTCTGCCAGACTTCATTCCACATGTGATGTAGGGAGTCTTGCATTTCAATTCAGAATAATTGTAAATATACAGGGCCAACAACCTTACATTGTCTTAAACCTTTGAGAAATTAGTAGAGGTTTTAATCTTTTACAGGAAACAAGGGAAAATATAAACAAAAGCCTCTTCTGCCCCTTTTCTCAGGGATAAATGCTTATCTTGACTTTTAAAAAATGAATAATTATTGTGTCTATAAGAGGTATATGGAATAAGGATCATATCTAGAAACCTTTCCATGGGTTTGACAGCACCAGCAATGGTAAAGTAATAGAAAGGCATATTTTAACAAGTTTATTCCTTCTGACAACATTTCTAAGCATGACTGTTCCCCACATTCTTTTCATAATCTACTCTTTATAGGGTTCCAACTTGCAGATACTGACAATCAAACATTTTCTAAAAGTTGTGAATCAAAGTAGCCAACAAATGCTCATCTTCCGCATCACAGTACAAAAGAAATTACTGTTGCTTTTCAGCTGTCTGTGTTGTTTTTCTGAACTGGACTGACTGTGTCAAATATGCAGAAACACCCAGGCTGGCTCCCTCCAGGTGCCACCCAATCCCAGCATGGTTTGTTAGGCCAGACACGTGCTTTGGCTACGCTGTTTCTGAGGTGGCACTGGCAGTCCACCAGCTTTGTCATGGGCTCAAGCCAAGCTGGCAACCCTGGAGAGAGCAGAGCCAGCTTGGGCTTTCCTGTGTTTCATTCCCAGGACTAGGTCACTCTCCTAGTGTGCATGGTGCAAGGATGTCTGAATGGCTTCTTCAGAGAGCCACTCTGCATCCATAAAACCCTTGGTGCTGAATGAAAAGTAGTAAACCCAGCTGAACCCAGACTGGTTCAAGACTGTTATTGAGTAGTAACAGTCAAGAGCTGTTACTCTACACAGTAAATGGATCTTAAGAAAAATGGATTTTAAGTTTCTAAAAAGAAGATGTAAGAATGCATTGGCAAACTTTGTAAATTAACTTTGGGGAAAAAGATACAGTGCTTGATGCATGTGGAAACCTTCCACAATGACAGAAACAGAAGCTTTCATGAATTTCCCGAACTGACTTGAAATTTCCAACAAATAAGTATATAACTAACATAATACATGAAACAATTCCCCTGTCATCATGGGCATGAACAAAATCATAGTCATGTCTTTAAAAGATCAATCAAGGCAAATGCACATTTTTCATAACTTAAATTTAGAAGAATAATTTACAGTGACATCAATACTATTTGCATTGATAGCTTACTTTCTAATATTCCAAACCTCTAAATTGGGACACTGTGCTGCTCCCCATTCAGTAAATGTTAAAACAGAAAACTTACAATGTGAGCTCTGAAATGCTGAGCTGTCACTACCCTGTTTGAAATTCTTAGGAAAAAACAAATATCAGGTCTTCTACTGCTCACTGGAGCTTCCTCTTACAGTTACACACTGAAAGAGAGCTTTGAGAAAAGTTCTTTTCATCTGGAGACACCTGGACCCTCCCCAGATAGGATCATCTTTCTTGTCTGGGCTATAAAGCTATATTGCTGGAGATACTAATCCTTTAAGATCTTGAGTGATTTGCTTTTCATTTTTGCAGAGCTCTATGGCACATTTAGGCCATTAACTGTTCAACTTGCAGTCTGCATCTTAACAGAATGGAGAGAACTGTCTCAGAGATGAACATGAATTACTTGAATCACCAAAAATAAGAGATCTTCAGTGATGACCACCTACCTTGCATTAAGCTAATTTCTGCATAAATTAGTAGATCTTTCTCTCTCAGATATGGAAAAAGAGAAAGATGAACACTTATTTAGGGTCAAACCTCCATGGTATTCCTGAAAGTGAAGAGCAGAGATAGCAGAAGGCAGCATCTGTAGGAGAGAATGGTTAATGTATTTGTGAATACAAGAAAATCTTTGTTGTTCTCTGGGTGTCCATGCTGAGTGCACTTTCCTTGACCCTGTGTGCCAGAATGAGTTGGTGAATGAAACTTTCATCAAGTTGCAGGATTTGGTGTGTCAAATGCATCCTGAACTAGATGTCATCTACAGTGAGGCTGAAGGCTGTATCATCAAGATCCCCAACAGTATCCAAATCCCATGGAAATTATGCACGTGAGCTATTGAATTTGGGTCCTTACTGCCTGTACACAGTACACATGCCCCAAATACTTGGAGGGATGGAGGCTGAAAGGCAAGCTTTATTTCAAGTCAGAAATTCAGCCAAGTTCCTTCAGAAAAGTAAATTTACAAAGACAGTCATGATGTTCACATATCTCAGTTCACGCAGACTGACTAAGCAAATCCTTTGCTTTTCGGAAGAAGCTATTGCCTTGGGACCTGAGAGCACTGGGAGGGTGAAAAAAGGAATGGGAATAGATGTTTGCTTGCTGTGTAAAACACATTAATTGATTAATTAATGTTTATTCCTCATCACAAGCCCACCACAACAGCTGACTTTCATAGAACACTTCACTGACAGTTGTGCTTTAGCATCAAAATTAATGTGCTTCAGAAAAATAGGATATGGTATTACAAGCAAATACTGTCCTAAATAGACATTACGTAGCTTTTCAAGGTCTGCAGTATCCATGGATAGCAGCAGATGGTGCTGTCCTCCTTGCGGAAGCCAACGCAAGCACTTGAGCATTGCTGAGCTAAATAACACCTTTGTACTACCAGCTTTACTGTGTTTCTTAACTGCTGTGCAGATTTTCAACTAATTGGGTGAGGTCTTGCTGTAGATAAGGGTTGGGATGAACTTAAGCAAAAGCTTGGGCTGTTAGTTCACATCAAACAGTGCTGCTGTGCTTCACAGCTAGTGACACTTGCACTATCATACTTTGCAGTTTTTAATAGCCATTATGGTATTCAGCGTGTCCCCATTCAAACAGAGGTGGAATGCAGAGAAGAGTAACTAAAGTGATTAGAGACCTGGGGGAGAGAACCGTCTCGATTAGACAGCCTAACCAAGCAGTGGCTACTGGGATGAAGACCAAATAACCATATGTAATTATCAGAAAAAAACAGGTTTACTACTGAGTCTCATTTCAAGGTAGCAGGAGAAGAAGGTATAACTGAGAAGAATGGGATTAACCTGAACAAAAGGACTTTGTTCTGGCAATGTGGTGACTGTGTAAGGAATAAAGAACTCATATCTCTCAGTGATGGGCTGAGTAAAGGCAGGGTGACAGATGGAAGAATAAGGGGAGAGTAGGTATCAGTGGCTGTTTCATGGTTATGCTCATGTTTTATCTCTGCTTCTATTAGAACTATTTGAAAGAGCACAACCTACAACTCTGAGACTTTTTTAGGATTATTGATGAGAACGGAAACATGAAGATTCCTGTGGCAGCCTTCTGGAAAGCCATGATACAGGTGTGCCTCTGAAAGCATGGCCAGAATCCTCTTCTGCCAGGGTACTGCTCTAGAACCCTTCTGCTGCAGCACAGCCGCCAGCCAGCCTTTCTGGTGACACTGTTCAGGCTAAAAGGCAAAATTCACTCATCACAAAGTTAAGCCTTGAAGGAGACCAACGAAAGTGTTGTGACACCCAATAAGTATTGCAGATGGCATCAGTGACAATGGACAGACATCCACTGTTTGTATGGGGTATATAGGATATTGATAGATACTTATGTCTTACTGCTATGCAAAAGTGTGGGGGGAAAGCATTTAAACCCTCACCTGTACAATGGAAAAGACAGTTCTCTTCCTGACAGAACCAGCATGGTGCCTGGGATCAGTAGCAACAGTCAGCCAGCCATGATGTTCTTTTACAAAAAAACGCAAAAAGAAAAAAGAGTGAAATTGCCTCCTCACCACCACTCTGGATTTTTTGCATCCCTTCCACCACGCATCAGGCCATCTGCTCACCCACTAAAAGACAGCCAGGCCCCACTCTGATATGAGGATTTTTCTGCTTAAAATTACCCAGGTTTCCTAGCACTTCTCTTCTTCTCTTAGCAACAAATCATCCCACTGGATTGAGTCCAAATTGGGGAACTAGTGCACAATCTAGACCGGAATCAGACAGCAGTTGTGGACTATAGGTATGTGAATGACTCCATTTACTGTCCTGGCTTGTCTTTCTTATTTTAATTTGGCTCAACACTAAATAAATATAACCTTTTTCACCTTGGGATGTGAAGGGACATATGGTTTTCACTGGTCCATTACTTACCTAAGTAAAAGGTAGATGAAAAAACACCTTGTATGCTTAGAAGTTCTGTTGAATCAAACTAGAAGTTAGTCTTATTTTCCTATTTGATAAACTTGCTGTGGGAGTGCAGAGATCTCAGAGCTGAATGGCATTTTCATTCATTCTCGTTAGCCTGTGTGAGAAGCATCAGCTCAACACTGTCCTCCCCCTGAAGCCAGGGTAAGATTTGCAACAACAGCATATCTGTGCCTTCAGAACTTTTCCTCTATCCTCAGGGACTCTTGTTTTTTTACTGCTCTCTGATCCCTCTTCTTAGTAGACCTAGTTTTCCCTGGAAACTTGCCTTCAAACTACAGAACTTTTCATTCTCTTGAAAGTGCCTCTTCTTAGTGCCTGTAGCAATCGTGTCCAAGTTCTGAGAGCCTGAGCATTCAGCAGCAAACTCCTCAGAGGCTGTCAGTCGCTGCAGGCTAAACTGCTTGTCATTGGACCCAAAATTCCCCCTAGATTTTCAGTCAATTCTGACATATGACTCATCAGCTGAAAGCCCTGTTAATCATGCCCAAATATTCCCATCCTCAGCATATACTAATGGGTTTAAGTATATGCTGTAGTCTAGTTTTAAGGCTAGAAGCAATGGGGCAGTTTTGCTCTTAGCCTCCTAATGTTTTCAGAGACAAGCAAATTATTCTGTTGCATTTGGTCTTTATTCCTTTGCATATATCAGTGCCATACCAAAAGCACCCATGCTCAGGTGCTAGATGTGCCTTAGACTGGTTAATCTTCAATCAGAGGTTACACGGAGTTCCCAAGTACTTCAGGCACAACTTACACAACTGTGGTTAAGCAGTAAGCAGATGAAACTGTTGAAATCCAACGGCTGGCAAAGACTTCATCTGGTGCCATTTAATGTGGCTGAGTTGATATATGGGGAAAAGCAGATATAGCTTATCTAGCTTCTTGATGCATTTTAGCACTGTAGTATGTGTGAAGTGGTAATATCCACCTTGCAGAAAAGAGATCTGTGACCTTTGCTGTCCTTACTGTTCCCACCTCAGGCTGTTTCTTCAAGATCCTCTCAGCAGCTTTAAGATACCTGACAGAGAAGGTTCACTTTACTAGATTAATACTGGTTTATCTCCTTCTTCTCCATCAGTCACATAGAAAACCAGAAGCCAGCACAGAAACTTGTGGAAGGGGAAATCAAGGAGGAAAAGAAGGAAAAGCCATAAAAATGAAGCAAGGAGGGAGGTCAGACAATGCAAGATTGTGTGAGAACCACTGAAAGAAAGCTCAGAGTAGCTCTGGCCTTGGGGAGGCCCAACACTGGAGAGTCTAGGTTATTGCATGTAGAAATAAAGTTAATGTTCCACTACACTGCAGGCCCCTATAGAGTCTGGTCCTTTTCTGTTAAAGAAAGACTGGTTCTTTGGACCTGGTTACCAAATCTGTCTTGCTCTGTATGCTGACAGTGATGAACTTACTTGCAAAGATGAAGGCAAAAAATGGGAAATGGGAAACTACAACACCCACGTTATCTCCTTTTGACGTAATGCACACAAGACGAAGACTGAAGCAAGGGCCCCGCAGTCATCTCCTACCAGTTTAGGACATCTGACACAGGGACCTTTGTAAGAAAAGAAAAAAAACAAACTTCATGAGAAACTATAGCTCATATTGCTTAAAAAGTTATAGGTGATAGAAATTTTATTTAATATCCCCATGGGAAAAAATATGCTAGAAAGATGGAAGACATAACAGATTTTTAAATGGCTTAGATAGTGATCTTTTTTTAAATCCACATTAAAAGATATATTTCAATAGCTCTTACAAAGGAATTAAAACCTTGCATATTTTAATATTTATTAAAAAATATAATCTTTAAAATGTAAATATGTACAGAAAGTACATTTTGCCACATGAGCAACTGCCAACATAGAGTATAAACCAAGGACCTTGGAGAACTGGGGAATATTGGCCACTTTGGGAAGATCAGCCTTCTGTGAAAAGGAAAAGAAGCTAGTTGCAACCCGGTAAGTCTCTGTTTCCCAGTGGAATTCCTATGTGGAAAAAAAACTTTGAAATATCTTGAAAATCTTTGGTAAGAGTTCACATGGCTCCAGTGCCTAATCAGAGGTCAAGATGATTGTTGACATGATGGTATTGGTATGTCTGCTCAGTAGTCACCTTCAGAAGGCTTCAGCTCATTACCCCAGGAAGTCTGTGTTCTCTGATGCCTGTGACTCTTCCAGAATTTACTTGTGATTGCAGTCAGTGCCCCCACATATGGAATATGGGGGGTGTTGAGATGAAGAATCAGAGAAGCATTAGAGATGCTGGGCAGTTTGCACATGCGGGGATAGCACTGTGGGGTTTTCTGTTCTTTTCTTAATCATGCCTGAAATGTAATTAATGTTTCTTGACTATTCCTAAGCACTCATGTATATTTTCATAGAAGCTGTTGTGTTTTCATCCCAGCCAGCAGCCAAGCCCCACATAGCCACTCATTCACCCACCCACCAGCGGGACTGGGGAGAGAATTGGAAGGGTAAAAGCTGGAAAACTCATGGGTTAAGATAAAGACAGTTTAATAGGGAAAGCAGAAGTCGCACACACAAACAAACTAAAACAAAGAATTAATTCAGTGCTTCCCATGGGCAGGGAGGTGTTCAGCCATCTCCATCACACGTTATGGTTACTTGGGAAAACAAACAGCATCCCTCCAAACTTCTCCATTCCTTCTTCCCCCCCAAAACTGATATGCTGAACATGATGTCATATGGTATGGAATATCCCTTTAGTCAGTTTGGGTCACCTGTCTCAGCTGTGTCCCCTCCCTCGCCAGTGTGGCAGTACAAGAAGAAGAAAAGGCCTTGACTCTAAGCAAGTCCTGCTCAGCAATAACAAAAACATCTCAATATTATCAACCCTGTGTTCAGCACAAATCCAAAACACAGCCCCGTACTAGCCACTGTAAAGAAAGTTAACTCTACCCCAGCCCAAGCCAGCATAGAAGCGTACACCAAACCCGCAGGACCTTACTGCTGATCAGTGGGGCTCGGAGAGGGCAGGAGAGCGGCCGGTGCCCATTACTGTACAATTCGAGCTCACTCCCTGCTAAGAACACCCACTGACCCCGCGCTCGGCGGGAGCAGCCCCGGGGCTCGGCCGTGCCCGCGTCGCCGCCAGGTGTCAGCGCAGCCCCGGCGGTGCCGCGCCGGCCCCGCTCGCCCCGGGCCCCGCACACCGCGGCACGGCGGCCTCCGCGGAGCCGCTGTGCGTGGGGTCAGCCAATGGCGAAGCGACCTTAAACATCATCATCTAGTTTCTGTCCAGTGCCTCATCACCCTCAGAGTAAAGAATTTTTTACTAATATCTAATCTAAACCTATTCTCTCGTGGTTTGAAACCATTCCTCCCTTGTCCATGTCACTTATAAAAAGTCCCTCTCCAGCTTTCCTGTAGGCTCGCTTCAGGGTACTGGAAGGCCACAATTAAGTCATCCCGAAGCCTTCTCTTCTCCAGACTGAACAAACACAATTCTCTAAGCATTTCCTCATAGGAGAGGTGCTCCATCCCTCTAATCAACTTGATGGCTTCCTCTGGACTTGTGCCAACAGGTCCATGTCCTTCCTGTGCTGTGGACCCCAGAGCTGGATGCAGTTCTCCAGGTGGGGTCTCACAAGAGCTGCTCGTTCCATAACTACTCCATTGCTGCTTTCCTGTGAAGAACCACCAGCAGGGGCATAATTTTAACTGTTGTACAATGTTCCTCCAGCATCCTGCTCCTGAGACTGGTGGATCCATAAGCAGTGGCTGTGACACGTTTTATGCTGGACTCACTGGTGATTGAGGGACTGGAGATACCTGACAACTGGTACATACAACTGTGTGTACCAACTCTGACATGGCTTGTTGGTCCACATGTGCCATATGTACAGAGAGGTGTCACTGCTGCAGGACAGTACTAAGACTCTTGGACCCACTGAACTTACTACACCTGATCCACAGACCTGAGTGTAGATACAGAGCATTTCTGGAGGGGACTGTTGTTCAAAACACATAATCTTCTAGGATGTTCTTCAGTGGTTCCAAGTCTGTTGACACAACATCCACCATTTCCTGGCTGTGCCAATGTAAAATACCCATGCCTCTCTCTCCCCCTCAGCCCCAAGAAATCCTTTTTTGAGTCCCTTTTTTTTTTAGCTTAGGAGGCATAAAATGAAATAACAACATATGCAGGCTCAGAATTAAGGCCATGGAGTTGGGAACACCTAATGATTTTATATTTTGCACCAAAAAAAAGGTTTTTTTTCATGATCTGCAACTATTGTTACATAACAGAGAACGAGAATTACAGTATTCCAGATTTTCATTTAAAATGAGGCTCTTGGCTTATCAGCAGGAACATACTCTATGGTCAGTTAAGCTCGATCAGAGGTGAGAAGTTTCCAGACTGGAACAAGAAGGAACAGAGAACAATGGGATCTTGGGGTACCTGATGGCAGAGAGTGAAGGTCCTGCTTCACTGTCCCTATGGCACTTTTGTTCTGCAGAAAAGGGTGCACTTTGGAGTAGAGGAGTAGCACATGTATATACTGTTCCATATCTTTGTCTTTTCTTCCCACAGTGTCTTGGGTTTGTGCTGCATATGTTACACATGCATCTTTATCTCATGCAGAGTGCTGTTGTGTATTAGTCACGCATTATTGTTCAACTTTGGTTTGCACAGAATCAGATGCCTAACTAAACTAATTTGTCCAATTATCGCCCTTAAGTTTCTAGATTAGCTACAGCCATCAAAAATCTTCTGTAAGAAAACAACATAATCAAACAGAGATGGGAACTGGCCTGCAGCAGGTGTGGCTTTTATTTATTTGAGTGTCCACTTCAACTCCAGACTCTACAAAGATGTGGCAGCTAGGTGGTACCTTTACATCAGGAAAAACTTGCAGGGAGATTCGATGGTTTCTTTCAGCTAAAGAGTTGAGGCCCAAATTTCTATTCCAGAAAGACTTGATAAATATAAAATATTTATTTTCTGAAAACAAAATCAAAAGGTAATGGATCTCTGGGAAGGTACTAGATGCAACCTTCTGTCTTACTATGTGACCTGATGCAACTAAAATACTAGTAAAAAACTGAGAGTGTTAGTGAAAATTTTAGTCATATGCAAGCAGTGTGGTGGAGGGGTGTAGCTGCAGTTTGTATTGTGCAGAATCTCTCTGAGCATTCTCAGATCAATAAAGCTTTTTCAAGCTTGGGGGCAGCATTTGTCCCCTTGCTGAGAATTCAGGGATAAACTGTGGTAGACACTGAGCAGGGGCGGTCAGGAAGTGGAACATGAATTTCTCTGCTGATCCTGCACCTGTGAAATGGCGCAGAAGGAAATGGTTTGGATAGCATAAATTAAGGCAGCTCTGAGACTCATCTAACATACCTCAGGAATTCAGCCTGCCAGCACAAAATTAGACAGTGCAGAAAGCTGGCTAAACACTATCTCTGTATCTTTCTTAGCTCATGAGAGTGACACAGCCAAGTGACATTGTCAGAACTCTTCAATATTAGAAAGAAAACACTGTCTAAGTAACATGTTTCGAAAACACGGCATGCACACCAGAGTATTTAATGTGTTAGCTAGTTTAGATGAACCTTTGGATCTCTTGCAAGGGAAATCATCTTTTTGTAATGGATCCCATCCAGCAGAATGAGACACAGTTCAGACTAATTTCCTAGGCACCACCACAACATTTAGGACAACATATCATTGCATTATAAAGACATCACTAATCAGACTCTGTGGAAATCTCAGAGCAAGTATAAAGACTAATGTTAGATGCCAAACTATCTCAGCTTGTTCACATTGAAGATCTTTGATCTGTCTAGCTGAACTGACCTACAGATTTTTGGCTTTATTTTCAAAGGAGAAATCTCACGGGCTGCTGAAGAGGGTACAGTGATACTAGTCTTCCTCTTTTAGATCAATAGTTCTTTGTTCCAGTGGCCTCCCATCCATATAATGATATATCACAACGTGTCCACTGTATATCAGTGGACATGCCCCTTATGCAAAGGGGCATCTGCAGCCATGAATGAAATAATGCATCATGAGATTGGAGCATGCCATATACAAGGTACTGGTGAGTGCAACGGGGATGCTTAAGTCTCTCACCTAAATCTGTCACGGTAACATTAGAGAATCTGAAGAGATGATGGAGTGAAAATTTGCAAGG